TCTGATGACACAATGGTAATGTTTAACCTTCGTAATTTTAGTAATATAAAGAATAAATTTTTACAAAAATTGTTTATTTTAAAAGTTCTTCGTTATTGATATATCGAGCAAACCATCTAAACCATCTTGGAATAAACTTGCGGACTCTCAAATGCTGGTAGCCCATCAAGTTCCACAAGAAAGAACTATAAATGCTATAGTCGATTCAACTGGGAGCATTTATGTTTTCGGTAAATTTATTCAAAAATCATCCCCTCAGCCACAAACAACAACCTCTCAGACACAACTCTCTAATATACGCTCTGGAGAAGTCGAAGAAACATTCTCAGAGAAAAATGTATCCGTGAAAACCCACGAGAAATCCATACCGATACAGTCAAAACAAACCTTTAAATCAAAAGCACTCCAGCAACGAGCATCCTCTTCGCAACAACCAATCAGTGAAATGCTCAAATATAATATAAATACGAAAAACTGGACAACCGTTAACATAAAAGTTAATGACCAATCCAAATTACCAGCTTCTGGTTTTACTGCGACCTATTTAGAAAGGTTCAATTCCATAATCTACATAGGCGGTAAATCTTCAGATGGAAACTTTATACCAATGAATCAGGTTGCATACCTTCAAAGCAGTTTCTCGTTTATTTTGTTTCAAAATCACTAAATATACTATTGATAGATTTGGATATACAATATTTCAGATGGAACATTAACACCAAAAGTAAATTTCTTTCAGTATTCAAATATATAAAATCATTCCTTATCGTTTAACTCTATTTTATAATTTTTGTCTAAAGAATACTGACGAAACCATCATAGTTGGCCGATATGGACATTCAGCATGCTTAGGTAATTTAAATTGTTTAAGCTCACATTAAAATTAGAATATTACTAAATATTACATAAATTTAAAGTGGAAAATAAGATCATCGTTTACGGCGGACTTTCAACACCACCTTTGGATTCTAGTAATGCTTTGGTAATTCTGGAGATAAATGACGGCAATTACAATTGGAAAACACCAAATGTTACATCGAATAAACCTATCGCTATTCCTTATTATCATACTGCAACAATTATCAACAATGATACTTATATGATCGTTGCATTCGGTAATCTTTTT